GGAAAATCTCTGATAGACGAAAAAATAAATTGATGTGTTTTAACTAGGGGTGTTCAGATACCAGTATCGGTGCCCATACATGGCATTTTTACAAGCGCTACCAGGGTTGCAGCTGCGACTGGGCCCTGGCACTCCACCATTGTCCTGAAATCATTAGTCTGTATTGTTTTAGAAAAACTGTCACATCCCGATAAAAAAAAAAAAAGGTATCAGTAATTGGTATTTGTACTTGGTCTATAAAAAAAATTGTATCGGTGCATCCCTAAACTATATAATGCACCTTTCTCAAATTATACTTTAAAACCAGGATACACAAATCCCAGAAGCCCCTAAACCAATGCTCCTTAACGACAGCTGTCTTCATTTTTTTTTCTTTCTCTAGTCCAAGTCTTTCAGTGGAACTGGAAAAGTATCAGTACTTGTACAAAGTATGGTACTTGGTATCTGTGCATCCCTAGTTTATAACCCTTCCCTGCTCTATTGGTGACCTAAAAGGTAAAGCTTTGCCTATACATGTGCTTTATTTCGTATGGTTTGAGGCTTTGTAGCCATCAACATTGAAGATGTAGTAATTTGCTGGGTACAGTCACTGGATATATTTGTCTATATCCAGTATTCTCAGCACAAGCCCTAACTATACGCATATACCGACTAACTTTATTTAGACCTAATCTACTCATTTCTTTCCATTTTTGGCCAGACTTGCAGAATGCAGTGTACCATATATTTTACATATATTTTATCATTCTGAAGTATTTACAATATACACGAATATGCATAAAATGATGATGCACTTAAAAATATTCATACATGTTCACAGCCTATCTTAATGTGACATCTTGTTAAAGTTGCTGGTTTACCACGGAAATGCTGCTTGTGATTGCTTTAACGTTCTTGTTTTTTTGTTCTGTTTTTTTTTTTTTTTTTTTTTTTTTTTTTTTTTTTTTTATAGAGTAACTCTCTGTTGGTTTCTGACAGCCTCCGAGGCACAGATAAACGGAGGAATGGCCCAGAATATTCTAATGACCTTAAAAAGAGGAAAGTGGATGATAAGGATTCTAGCCACTATGTGAGTGAACTTTCTCATCTTGAACAATGTCAAGCTTTCCCAAGTATTCAATTTTTCTTTTTTTGTTGTTGTAAAGAACACCTTTAGAACAGCAATGCTTATTTGCCATTGTTCTAGAACCCATAATGTGCTCTGCTTTGGCATCTAATGGGTCCTTGTGAGCTTTATAGATCAGAGGATGATGTGATGTGCCGGCACAATTTGCACATCAAAAGAGATCTTTGGCGGAAAGGCACTTTTTTTTTATTTGCATTTATTCCTATTTGAGACAGGGTTGCTTTAACTAGAATTACCTCTGTCTTTAGAATGTTTGAAATGTGCGTACTGTTTAATTCATTTATTCAAGCCTTGGTCAGCAAAAGCTAGAAGAAAAGTGTAAAAAGAAAAAAAAAAAAATTGGCAGCCTACTTAAGAGATGTATTCTAGCCCTTTTGATAACCCTGTCTCGCAAGGCACAGTTATTTCCTGTTTGTCTTTGTGAAAGCCAGACGCTGTTAACAGTCTTGGTTTTCCGGTTTGAAGTGCAATCATTTTACAGTAGTTTCACAAACCCTGATGCAGATTACAATGCATGCTACAACAGCAAGGATTAGATTTCTAGAACCTTTGAAATATGTTTGAGATGCTTTCTTGTAATATGTGGACGTTTGCCAATTTCTCCACTTTTTTTTTTTCTTTTCCCATCTTCATTTCTGTTCCTATGAAAGTGTTGCTATATTGGTTTTGTAGAGCTGATTTAATTGGGAGCTTTATCATTTTATCTTACGATTTATGTTAAGTATACCTTTTCATACTCCTATTTTAGTAAATTAATTTTTACTAGTCAGTTTATTACTAGCCAGTTAAATCTTTATACTGAATAAAAATGTACCTATTAATTACAGGACAGCGATGGGGACAAAAGTGATGACAATCTTGTTGTTGATGTGTCAAATGAGGTAAGGCTTTGTTATCCCCACCCTTTCATGATTAGACTATTTCTTACAGTACCGTAGGGCCTTGTGTACCATTGTGATCCTTGCATTGTAAACATTTAAGAAGCACTTGACATGCTTTAAGTGGCTTTCTTGAAGTGATTGAAGCACCTCTGCTTATCCTGAGCGCCCATCAGCTATAATCTGGTGGGTTTTCTCCCATTTTTAGATGATGAATACAGATCTTAATAACATTTTCAAGTTTGATTAACGAGCATTGTACAGTGTACAAAGTGCTCTACCCATGGCAATCCTTGGGCCAAGTAGTAATGCACTTCCCCCATACAATGCATTACAGTAATTAAACATATATACACAAGTCTCCACACATTTTTAAAGGCGTCATCAGTGAGTTTTGCTTCAATACAGCAATGGATAAGCATTAGCACAATGGTCAAAAAAAACAATGAAAATACTAACAAAGAAATCTTATCCATTTAACATTCTGGGGATACAAAATGAGATTCCACCCTCTATAAACTGCACTCTGCTCAGGAAACCCCACTGGCTTAGTACCCCAGGATGGCTGTAGCTTTAACCCCTTCATGACTTGAGGCCTTTTTTTTTTTTTCATTTTTTGCACCCATGTTATATTCCACATTTTAGGCCTGAAAATTACTTAAAACCCCCAAACATTATATATTATATATATATATTTTTTACTTTAATTGCAATCACATAGGGGTGCTTACAAGCCCCTCATGTGATAGCAGATGGTGGTGACAGGTACTCTTTAAGGTGATGCTGAGGGTCCAAAAGACCCCCAGTGTCACCTTTACACTCTCAATAAGCTATTGAAGTGCAGATCGCACTTCAGTAGCTTATTGCTGGGCTTCAGGAGCCCAGCACGGACAGCTATGGGGCCGGAAGTGATGCAATCTGCATCGCTCCCAGTCCCATAGAACGGGGAGGAGATCGACTAACGGAGGTTTGTCCATCTCCTTCCCAGCTTCATGCCGACACCAAAGAAGCCGGTCCCGGGACCGTAGGAGGGGTAACTGAGCCCGGGAAACATGTCGGGCGGGCGGACCCGTTCACCGGCCCTTAGAAGCGATCTGACGGCTGCTGAGCCGCCAGAATCGCTTCTACTGTAAAGCAGACAGTCGGCTTTACAAGTTTAAACAGTTTGCTGCCGGGAGTCTATTTAAACAGCCCCTGTCGCAGGTACGTCGCTGGTCATAAAGGGGTTAAGTGGGGTTTTTGCAGATTTTTACAGGCTCTTGTTTTCACCATTGATTTTGCTTAACCTTGTTAAAAACTGCAGCCAATATGCCAAAAAACTGAAGGTTGTTAAATGTTTTGTGAATGTTTGCTTAACCCAATGGTTTGACTATCATTTACAATCTAAAACTAACAAACGTCCATGTGTTCAGGGCCAAACCAGTGCTTGCATGATGTCACTAATGCTTCTAAAGAGAGTTTTGATGCTTCTTTTTATGCTGGTGTAATGCATTTTGCTTTTGGGAAAGCCAAAGTGCAATATCTACTCTGGGCTGAGTCATGCTGGGAAAATAAAGGGCAGCTGTAAGATGCACTAACCTCTGTGGCACATAACAGATCTCTGGAATCCAGCTAATTAGCAAAGTAACAAGGGTTTCATCCTCTCATAGTTTTTGCAACACAGCGATTTTTCCACCTCGCAGGCTGGAGATGAAAACCCCTTTACGTAGCCTGCATTATGAATGTACTTAACCTATGTCCAAGAGTTTATTTTCTGCTGTGCTATGTATAGAGCAACACAATTTATATATGCAAGTTATGTAAATCCCTGCTGGCAACCTTACATTCTGTAACAAGCACAGATGTCTGCATCACAGCCAGGCAGCTAGAATTTTTAAAAGAATAGATTAGCAGTGGCAGCCTCCATGTGTCTTTTGCGAATGCTTTCTTTTAAAGGTTAACTAAACCCAAGAAGAAAAAATGTAATACATTGCAGCTTACCAATCCTTAGATGTGGCTGCATGTTTTTCCATAAAGTACAGAAATACCCTGTTCTTGCCAGAAATGCAATGTCCTTGTCTCTTCCTGTCAGCGGAACTGAAAGCACAAAGTAGGTCATCTATCTTCTGTATACTGTAGTATTAGTCTCCCTATTCCCAATGTAATGGAGAGGAACAAAGGTAAACATGTCTTATAGTTCAGTCTGGGTGGCAACCTTTACTCCATTCATAGATACAGAAAAGGAGTAAGCGTAGCCACTTTAGGACAGGAAGTGTTCGCAGGACTACCAGGTAGTCTCTTTGCAACAGCTTATCAACTTTCATGAATTGTGAAACATGCATCCTATTGTGTTCAACCACACAGTTTGTTTACATATGCTTAGGATCCATCTTCTCCAAGAGCAAGCCCAGCTCACTCACCGCGAGAGAATGGTATTGATAAGAGCCGATTAATGAAGAAAGATGCTTCTAGTAGCCCAGCCTCCACTGCATCTTCAGGCAGCTCAACATCTTTGAAATCTAAAGAAATGAGCCTGGTAAGTAACACATTAACATTCAATGGGACCTCGCATGTTAACAGATGGACATAGAATTGCAACTTTCTTTTTTTTTTTAATGTACAAACAAAAATAACTGGGACCATTTTGGACTTCATTTTATCAACTGAAAAGTAATGAATCTACTCAAGCAAATATAAAGAAATCAAATTGTCATCAGAGTATGTGGATCTATGGCAGGCTGCATTACTCACCATTTTTGATTTCCTATAGCCGATTTCAGGATTCAAATTTAATGCAACTCTAGGGGTTGCCCTAGTTGGTTACACTTCATTTTGTTGTTGTGCAATTCTTTATTTCAGCGCATGTTTTAAAGCACATTTCTCTTGAGATAAAATTTTGGAATTGTTACTCAGACATAATATGACCCCAGTACGACTTAATTCATCCCACTATTTGATTTGTGTTTGAAATGCCTGAGCCATGGGGATATGCTCTACCAACACACAAATAAATAATTTGAATGGGGGTGTGGGTGGTAGCTTAAAGGGCACATGTGTACAGACTATGGACATGAAACTATTCACATATTCTTATGCAGTAAAAGAGCTTTGAAATGAGCCATTTTAATGTGAAGGTCTTAATTCTTCGATTTACAGTAGAACCTTCAGTCAGGATTCATTCCTTTTCTAACAGCTTAGAAACGAATGCTGGTTGTTTAAGTTAGGGGGCTGACAGCCTCCTAAGATTCTGATGACGCAAAAAGTAATAGTATGTGCTCACAGTTGCAGGTTGAATCGGCATGATTTAACCCAGTAGACTAAAGACCTCTTGTGATGAAGAGGATGTACTGCAGAAGAGCGCTCTAGATTAACTGCTTCACGACTGACTACATACAGTGTACGTCGCAAGCATCGGTGGTGTTTAAACAGGGCCGTCAGGACTCTGTTTAAACTTGTGAAGCCGACTGTCGGCTTTACAATAGAAGCGATTCTGGCGACTCAGCTGTCGCCAGATCGCTTCTATGGCTCGGTGAAGGGGTCCCCCCGCCCGACACTCCCGCTGTGCTTTCCGGGCTCCGTTGCCCGCCCCTCCCCACGGGCCCAGGACCGGTTTCTCTGGTGTCGGCGTGGAGCTGGGGAGGAGATGGACGAACCTCGGTTTCTATGGGGCTGGGAGCGATGCAGATTGCATAACTTCGGGTCCCATAGCAGCAGCTTATAGCTGGGCTTCAGGAGCCCAGCACTATCAAAGCGCGATCTGCACTTCAATAGCTTATTTGGAGTGTAAAGGTGACACTGGGGGTCTTTTGAACCCCTCGCATCACCTTAAAGAGTACCTGTCACCACCATCTGCTATCCCATGGTGGGCTTGCAAGCCCCCCTATGTGATAGCAATCAAAGTAAAGTAAAAGAATAACAGTTTTTAAAATTAAAATCTAAAAATAATGTTTTAAAGTCCCCCGCCTCCGCGAGCACGCTCGTCGCCACGTAAACACACGTCGGGTGCACCTACGTATGAAAACAACGAACGTGCTACACATGTTGGACATCGCCGCGCACGCCAGAGTGAGAGCAATAATTCTAGGGCCAGTATTTTTGGGTATCTCTAAATTGATGCCCTGTGGGGGCTTTTAAAGCGTCGTCTATGGACTTTTTGGGGTACTGAAGTTTGTCGCTGTTTCACAGACGCACACAATTTTTAACCTGGGCATGTTGGGTATCTATTTATTCGTTGTAACCTCATCTTTTATATTTTATTAAACGGGTTTTTTTATTGTGTTTTGGGGTATTTAAGTAAATTTTTCACAATTTTTGGATTTGATAAGGAGTTGCGCTAATATCGTGCAACATACAAATTTGCAGCTGCCACCATTTTATTCTATAGGGTCTTGGCTGCCAGAAAATATATAATGTTTGGGGGTTTGAAGTAATTTTCAGGCCTAAAATGTGGAATATAACATGGGTGCAAAAAATGAAGCAAAAAAAAAGGCCTCAGGCATGAAGGGTTTAAAGGTGAGAATTGTAGTCAGAACTGTTTTTCTTAAAAAAAAAAGAATTTAGCCTGCAGTTGGGCTTTGAGCAATAAGCTGTGTGATTTTAGTTATATTGTGTCTGTTTGTTTTGTTAATCTGCCATTATCCTGAAGATATTACCATGGAAAAAGGAGCCACATTGAACGTGTTTGGCCCTGATCTCTTATTTAAGTGATGGCAGTTTCACGAGGACCTTTATTTTCTACCAAGCTTAGTTGGCCAATTGTAAGGGCACTGCATGTAGAATGTGGTTGAGCCAGATAGTCCTTAATTTGTCAAGCTCAGTGAAAAGACCACACTAAGGAAATTATATGCACACTTAGAAATGAGTATGAAACCATCCTTGTGCCGATGCAACTAGAAAACTGTGTAACACTTTCTACAGATCTGAGTTTTCATTTTGGCAGTAGAATTAAAGGTCAACATTTCTTTCTCACAAGTTAATACTGTCAACATTGTGTGGATTTATGAAAATTGGCTGAAGGAGTGGGTAGTAGATGCCCAGTATCCCAGCTGCTGTTGTGATAAATTGTGTAATATGGCCTGGATTAAAAATAATACTCATTTAATTTGTTTAATGATACTAGCATGAAAAAGCCAGCACGCCTGTTCTGAAATCAAGCACGCCAACTCCTCGTAGTGATGTACCGACTCCCGGCACAAGTGCTACATCAGGTCTGCGCCCAGGACTTGGCAAGCCTCCCTCCATGGACCCTCTAGTTAACCAAGCCGGTAAGAATTCCCCTTTTCTTCTGTGCTATGTTTACATTACATATGTTATGTACATAATACTCTATGAATCTTAAATATGTTTTTCTCCCCTTCCCTCTCACCCAAGAGGCCTGATGAATAACAGATGTTTGCACTCAATTTTCAGCAGCTGCACCACTTTCAGTCAGACTGTTTACATTTGGCTTTATTTTAATTCCAAATACTCCAATTTTCAGAAAGGCAGGCGATATTCATCTACTTATTGTCAGTGTAATGCTCTTTTCCAAACCCATAATTCCCAGTTCCAGTTGGTTAATATTTGCTATATGCATATAGCAAATGAACGCAACAATATTTACTTTCGCAGGCAAGTCCTTTCATGTAAATCCTTGAAGAAATCCATTTTCCTTTGTGAACTGACTATTAAAATTCAGGAGTCTGGCCTGGAAAGATTAATTCCAGATCTCAACCTTTATCTTTTGGTTTTGGCTCAGGCAAGTAAATTGTAAAGATCAGGGCATGTAACATGAGTAATAGGGGGTTGCAATTCCATTACTAAAAGTGCTCCAGCACACCATTTTTGTGTTTTTGAATCATTCTGAAAGTTCTCATTCAACAGACTGGAAAAGAAAAATCATTGATGTCTCAACCTTGTTTATCCATTATGCACACTTAACATGCCCAAATTGCAGGGTACTTTTTGTATCGAAAGGCTTTATAGCAAACGTTTTTGATTCATTGGCCACCATTTGAAAGTATTGAGCCACACTGTTTTTTCGACCCAGGCCTAAAACTGCTTAAAAAAGCCTTTATGGAGTGGACATGTGAAGGAAATTCAAGTTACAGGCTTCAGGACCTAGAAGTTGCTCAGGGCATGGCTTTCCTGCAAAAGACCAAAAATGAATTAAGATAAAATACATAGTCATGGCCAAAAATATTGGCACCCCTTCATTTCCGTCAGAGAATGCACCACTTCACGCAGACATTTGTTGCAATTACAAATGTTTAGGCATTCTCATGTTTTATTTATTTTGGTTGTTATTGCTATGACACAAAAAAGAGGGGGGGAAGCCAAATCTGACACATTCCATGCAAAACTCCAAAAAGGGACTGGACAAAATTATTGGCGCCCTCAATATTTGGTTGCACAGCCCTTGGAAAAAATAACTGACATCGCTACCTGTAACTATCAATTAGTTTCTTACACCTCTCTACAGGAATTTTGTACCACTCTTCTTTCGCCAACTGCACCAGGTCTCTCAGATTGGAAGGGTTCCTTTTCCCAACTGCTGTTTTGAGAACTCTCACAGGTGCTCTATGGGATTTAGATCTGAACTCATTGCTGACCAGTCCAGTACTCTTCAGCGCTTTGTATGAAACCATTTCTGGGTGCTTTTTGACTTGTGCTTTGGGTCATTGTCGTGCTGTAAGACCCATGACGTCTGATGGAAACCCAACTTTCTGACACTGGGCCCTATATTGCACCCCAGATTTCATAATGCCATGCACAGAGTCAAGACATCCAAAGCCTGAAGCAGCAAAGCAACCCCAAAACATCAATGGACCTCCACCATGTTTGACTGTAGGGACTGTATTTTTATTTTGAAGGCCTCATTTCTTTTTCTGAAAACCAAAAAGCTGTACATTTGTTTCATCTGTCCACTTCACTTTCTCCCAAAAGGGTTTTGGCAAACTCCAATCTGGCTTTTTTTGTCAGCAGTGGGGTCCTCCTGGGTCTCCCACCATAGTGTGCCTTTTCATTCAGGTGTTGACTGACGTATAGTGCGAGCTAACAGTTGTATCCTGTGCCTGAAGCTTGAATTTGTCTGGAAGTTGATCGAGGGTCTTTATCCACCATTCGAACAATCCTTCGTTGCAATCTTTGATCACTTGTTCTCTTTCGTCCACGTCCAGGCAGATTGGCTACAGTGCCATGGGCTGTAAACTTCTTGACAATGTTGCGTACAGTGGACACAGTGACAATAAGCTCTCTGGGAATGGACCTGTAACCTTGAGATTGCCCATGCTTTTCCACAAGAACTTGGAATGCAATTATTTCTTGCAATTTGGAAACGGTGCCAATAATTTTGTCCAGTCCATTTTTGGAGTTTTGCATGGAATGTATCAGATTTGGCTTCTTTCTCCACTTTTTTTTGTCATACCAATACAAACAAAAGAAATAAACATGAGAATGCATAAACATTTGCAATTGCAACACTTTTCTGAGCGAAGTGGTGCATTATCTAACAAATGCAGAGGTGCCAAACTTTTGGCCTTGACTGTATATAACTTGCTCCCTGCACAGATTCCTGCTTGTTTGTAATTTAAACACGTTGCTCCCCCTCGTGTTGGAACAATGTAAATAGTTCCACAGTCAGTAGCTATTGCTTTTTATGCTTCAGATTTGCACTTTAGCTTTCATTATTGGATAAATGACATATGTATTTGTAGAAGAAGCTTTTTAAGGAATCAGTAATTCTTTGACACTCTGCACCAGGACAGTAAAGTTGAGCCCATTAAGCTTCTCTGCACGTAAACCTTAGTACCCTGGAAATGCAGCCTCTGGCTTGAAGAGATGCTGCTTCTGAGACTGAAATTTAGCTAAAAAAAAATTAACAAACACTCTTCTACTGCACACTTTTTTACAGGAGCATCATCTCCACACCTTTATGATGTCTAACCCTTAGTTCTTTCAAACTGTAACTTTTTTTTCTATCTTTATAAACATGGCTCACAGCATCTTTGCCTCCTCAGAGGAGCCTCTGATTGGTTCTGTGTGCTTGCCTGTGAATGTGCATGATATTGTAAAACTGCTTTTGTTTTTGAGCAGGAAAGTAGAATTGTTTTATAACAAATATCATATACTGTAAATATTGTTTACTGGACTAATCCCTAGACATCCTAGAGGTGTAGAACAGATTCATCTATTACTCTAAAAGATTTTAGTTCTGATTTACTGGCTTCTGTTAGTGTTTGATGTACAACTATAACTTGCTATACCACTAGGACTTATAGTAAACTTGTTGTGAAATAATTTATGGTGGCTGCAATTGCATGCTTTGTTTTGAATAGGCTAGTTGCCTGGATCTAGACAGTAACCATGAGCGAAAAACAGATCAGAAAATTTGTGTTTATTTGAATACTAGGTCAGTGACTCAAAATAAGAATATCAGCATGGCAGGCATCTAGCATTTTCAGAAGAAGGCATGACTGTTGTACCGGGTTTGGAAAAGCATTTTTTTTTTAAAGAATTGGAATTCATCTCATACAATGTTCTAATACACTGACTGTAACATACAAGTGTAAATATGTCAATTATTGGACTGTTAATGTGGCTAAATCACTTAAAACTGTCACAGGTTCCTAAACAAGTCACACATTTGCATTTTTATTCTTCCCCTTTGGAAATAGCTGCTGCAGGTTTGAGGACTCCACTGGCAGTTCCTGGTCCTTATGGCACTCCCTTTGGAATGGTTCCACATGCGGGTATGAATGGTGAACTTACCAGTCCTGGAGCTGCCTATGCTAGTTTGCACAACATGTCCCCACAGATGAGTGCGGCTGCAGCAGCAGCTGCTGTTGTGGCCTATGGGCGGTCTCCAATGGTGAGTGCCAAATTAAGTAGTTAAGGAACATAATGATTAAGCACGTTTTCTAATTTCTACTTCATTTTAACTTCGCTTTTACTACAATCACTGTAGTTTACTTTCCTTTTTAAATGTTCCAGGTTGGTTTTGATCCCCCTCCTCATATGAGAGTACCCGGAATGCCTCCAAACTTAGCTGGAATCCCTGGAGGAAAGCCGTAAGTAATCATTTATTTACTCGTGTAGGGTATATTGTCTGATGGGATAATTTTATATATGTTAATTGTTCTTCTATATGTGCAGTTCAAACACCCACCCATATCGCCTAAGAAAGCATTGGGGGGTGGGGGTGTTCTTTTCCTGTTCCCTTCCTCATAATAGTGCAGCAAAAATTACCAATTAAGTCATGAAGTTTGTGCTTTTCCAGTAAGAGTAAGTTTGCAGTGTTTGACTGACTGTTAAGTTCAGTGCTTGTTTAGGGATGAGCCATTAGAAATATGTGTAGGGCAGAATTTAATGGTATGCTCCAAACTGCCACGAAGCATCACCGATTTACCTGCAAGAGTGGTTTAAGTCTTGGTGCCTGGCCTTTGTTATCCAAACCAAAAAAGAAACTGCTGCAGGTACAACCCCTATTCCAAATGCTTTGTAAAATCTACATAAAACAGAATGCAATGATTTGCATATCTCATAAACCCATATATTATTCACAATAGAAAGCATATCAAATGTTTAAACTGAGAAAATTTACCATTTTAAAAAACAAGTTTTATTGTGAAATTGATGGCAACATTGTGAGAGATGGAGATATTTGTTATGTAGATTTTAGTGTCCCACCTTTTTTGGAATTGGGGTTTTATAAAACTAAAGCATCTATAGGTTGGAATTGGACTGTGACAGGATGGCTTGGTAGGTTGCTGCAGGTATGTGCACTTCTTAAGTAGAGTAGTTTCAGTGTTGGTTTTGACAAGACAGAATTCAGATATTTTTATTACATTAGCAGTATTATACATTTAAAGTGACATTAAAGCATACTTTTTTTTCGCACCCCCAAAGTTAATGTTAGCACTTACCTTAAATGATGTCTCTTAATCCGATCTTTCCTGTCGTTTTCATCTGTCCCTCCAGCACTGCTGCGGGTCTCCGATACAGTGCTGACTCTTCGGTGCCTGCAGGCACTTCCTGTCCCACGGTGTCTGCATGCAGGTGCACGCCGTCCATTGACTTACCTTGTGTCTCTCCTCGTCTCCCAGCCGAAAATCTGAACTGCGCATGCGCCCGCCCCAAGATCCTTTGTGGCCGCCCGGGATTTTTCAGATTTTCGGACGGGAGCGTGCGGTGAAGACACAGGCAACTATTAACCTGTTTGAAAGGGTTTATTAAAAAAAAAGTTTTTGCATATATATATATAAGCTGCTTGCTAGCAGTAGATGTATGCAAAAAAACCTGAGGGTTTATTAACCCTTTAATTCACACTGAATTAAAAGCTGTGTGTTTTGTTAGCCTCAAATGTAACAAAGGTATGTGTTGTCTTTTATTGCAAGTAATACGAATAAAGTGTGTGCCTTTTAAGCTAACAAATATCACTATTGGCTTTTGTTACCAAACATTATTTTGTTGAAGGATCAAATACAGCTTGATCTCCTAAATATTATTTGCATCAGTACATGGTTTTGGTTTGGCAGCAGCAAGTTCAACAATGATGTAACAAAGGCAGCTGAAGATGCTTACATATTTTAACGTTTATCTCTTTTCACTGAACAATTTAATTGATAATTTGGTATTTTGAAGTACAAGATGTGCTGCCTTTTGTTGAAGTAGCTCTGAAATTATATTTGAAAGTAAATCTAGTCACATACATCACTCCATCCGGAACCACACTGTTTTTGCACTGATCGTTCGCTGAAGTATAAATATTATAAATCATTTTCCCTGTAGAGAGTGCTTGCAGTGTCACAGATTGAAGTATGTTTTACAATAAGTGGAAGCACAGATGTTCTGACTTAAATTGTTTAGTCGACAGAGGAATATGTAGCAGGAGAGAAAATGCTCCCACATTCATAGGTTTCTACTAATGTTTTCTGTACGTCAAGCCAAATCGGAAACAATATTTAATCAATCATTAATGTTGATGGATTTTGCTTTTTAAAGTTTGTATATGAGCCTTCTTGGTATGTCTATTCTCCCAAAAGTCATCAGGCTTATAGTCCCTTTTTCTTATTTTAATTATATTTGCAACATAAAATTGTGTTTGGTAGTAATTATAAATCACGGGGAAGTGGTTTGTGCTGTAACCATCAGCAACCCCACAAGACACGTTTACACTGGTGGGAAAGGATGTGTCAAGGTCTGGGACATCAGCCAACCTGGCAACAAAAGCCCTGTTTCTCAGCTGGACTGCTTAGTAAGTGTACAGAAACTTTTGTATTAGGGTAATTTGTCCTTAGAGACTCTACAAGGAAATGGCTTTTATTTAGTATGTTGTCTTAAAGCTCCAAATACAGAAACAGATTTGCTTTAAAGAGTAGCATTGTTTTAGCCTATTAGTCTATTTAACAGAGGTTTTTTTTTTTTTTAGCTATATTTATTTGTTGGGGATTTAAACTACTATACCACTTTTACATCTGTTGAGTTCCTGGGTTAGTTCCTGGGTTAGTTCCTGGGTTAGTTCCTGGGTTAGTTCCTTTGCTGTACTCTTTATGGATTGGTCTTGCTATCCCTGTTGAATATTGATTCTATCTTAAGCAGAAGTTAAACAAAAACTGGGAAGACCCAGAGGTGGATTGGAATATCTTTAACTCCGAGGAGGGTGGGAGATCCTGCTACCAGAGTCGTCATGCAATAAAAACACAAGGTTGACTTATTCATCACCAAGCCAACCTGTTGGTGAAATATCACTGACCCTTTTAATGCGCATGCTTAGCATTTTTGTCTTTTTATTGGCCTTAACATAAAAGTTTTCATGTAAAAACGTGCATGTGATATGTGAGCTAATCACCACTTTACAGTCATTGCTATGAGTGTGCTTACCATTACAACCTAAAACAGTGCATTGCTTCTTTCAGGAGAAATCATTCTCATACAGCATACTATCATCTTAGTTTTGTGTGTGTATGTTTACTCTACTTGTTTGCCAAGTAGGTGGTTGAAAAATTACTGGTTGACGGTTATGAAAAATAATCTAAGGACTTGGCGTTGCTATGATGTGTGTTTACCTAGGCTTCTACAGTCATTCACATACAGACTGCTTTTGTTATTAATTTGAAGGACCGTACCTGTGCAAATACTGTTCTACTATTAACAATGACAGTATTATAAATAATGAAACGTTTGTCATGTCCCCACCCTCACATAAAGAGGCCTATAATTGTTGCATAGAGGATCAAAAAAAGGGGAGTACAGAAGCGCTACTACCATATATTAACTGAATAAAACCAAAAAAAGTGAATCAGGGCAACTTACCGATGGATGGTGGTGCGTAACCATCGGCGAGGGGTCGATGGGTGTAGGTCCTTGACTGGTGAAAGTGGTGGGCACTCAAGGGAATGTGTGAGCAAATTGGGGGTGTTGGTTTAGTCACTGCCGTGGCAGCTGAGGGGGGCTCAGTGTTAGTGATAGCCTGGGTATGTGTGGCAGGAATCCTGGGTGGAGGGGGGACCGCTGGTTATTGCAGGCACAGTAAAAATGTTTTGGTGGGTGCTGGCAGAACTGTAAGGGGTAATGTGGGATGACAGGCTGCCTTTAGGCCAGGTTCCAAATATCTGGAATTTTTGTCTCCTGAGCTTTCTGCCTGAAACTGATCTGCTTACCCGTCATTAAGCTTTAGTTCAGCAAACACTGAGTTCCACAACATAAAGTAACCTAAGGAAACATTAAAAAAACATAATGCTGTTGAAATGCAGTCATAGTTGTGTTACCAGGTGTAATAAGTGGTTTGTTTTCTCTTTCTAGAACCGAGATAACTATATCAGATCATGTAAATTACTCCCTGATGGATGCACTCTGATTGTCGGAGGGGAAGCCAGCACGTTATCCATATGGGACCTAGCAGCTCCCACCCCGCGTATAAAAGCAGAGCTGACATCATCTGCTCCTGCCTGCTATGCTCTGGCTATCAGCCCTGACTCCAAGGTCTGCTTCTCCTGTTGTAGTGATGGCAACATTGCAGTGTGGGACTTACACAATCAGACTCTTGTAAGGTATGTTTTCAAAGTGTTTTATATTTATAGATCCATAATTTCCTGATGAAAATGGCTTATCTCTCATACCTGTGTGTACATGTACAAAGGTTTCCATGATGTGTAAAACTACTATATATTATAGTATGCATTGAAGACTAAATTAAAAGTATATGGAATCCTGGATATTTTATTTAATAAAGTTGTTCAATCTCTCTTACCAAGAGAGAGTAACGCTCAAGTGTAGATGGAGGTTACAGTTATTTTATTGGTTAATGAGAATTGCTTATAAAGTAAAGTAAATTGAACCTGTCACCTGCACTCACCAAGGTTACTGTTTTTGTAGGTGAAATAATTAAGGAAATGTCATCCAGAGCGTGTAGTGACAGCCTTCCAGACAAAAGCAGATTTTTTTTTTTTTTTTTTTTTTTTTTATATGGTTTGGCAGGGGGTGCTGGGTGACTCGTTTTAAAGTCAAAATTCTATTCAATATTGCATATTTGCAGTGTTACTTTTTTGTTGTTTTTCAAGAGAAGCTAGGCAATTGTCAATAGTGGTAGGTTAGTCTAGAAGCCAGGTTAATCTTTAAAAATTGACAGATATATTTGAATGGCCTTGCTTAGAGCGTAATATCATTTTATAGGATAGGAATGCTGACACCATGTTCTTGGGAACTGACCTTTAGTATTTTATGTTCCATGACCCTGGCAGTTGGAATATCCTAATACGAGCAGCGAATGCCAAAAGGGTTAAACAAGGCTTAGCACGGATTTTTATTTAATTGCTCTTAGAGCTAGGTTGTATGTAGCTCACATATTTTGAATCCTATTAGGTTGGCAACCCTGTCTGTATGGAGGGCCAGCAAACTATTCTGACTGGAATAAATCCACAAGGCTTTACAGGCAGTTTGGCAGGCACATGACAGATTTGGGACTGATAATTCTCCTCCCAACCTTCAGATGTAATTTTAAGCAACTGCAGCCAGTGTCCTCTTGGCATGGCCCTCCTGCAATTGTTTCTATCCATTTAAAATGTTCTGGATCTGTTACATATGCCATATGATTGCATATGAACTTTTACATTGACACTTTTAAAAGATACAGTGCTTGCAAACTCTTCAGTTCAGATTCACTTCCCTCATTTTAAGCTATACTTTTGCTGGGTTGCATATTATTTCTCCTATTCTTTTTTTCTATTCTCTTTGAATTGTTACTGTTGGCCCACTATTTTTTATTTATTTTAAAAAAATATATATAATTAATGGCCTCATTTACATGTGCAATGCCGCAGCAATCAGCCCTCCTAGACTAGGTTGAACAGGTGTTGAAAAGCATTGGCACCAATGAGCAGTAAGATTCTGTAAGGACTGAGATTATAGCCAGTGTATAAGGGCTGTAGATCAAATGCTGAGACCCTCTTAGTAATTGTTTACATTCTAAAAAATGTTAATATAATGTATTACAAACAAGGACTATGGTACCTTTTTTTTTTTGCCACTGATGTGTAATAATTAGTGTTTACAACCCTTTGAAGATCCTTAAACTCCACTGTGAGAAGCTCCTTTGTGTGTTTTCACTTATGGTTTTTCATAGGTAGTACTTTTTCTGTGGTGCATGGAAGATGAGTAGCATGCTTATAGGAAACCTGTGCTAAAGAGATCTGTGCTGGCTGCCGTTGCTCGTCTCTTACTGAAAATACTCTTGACCTGCCATCATGCAAAGCTAGTAATATCAATAGATTGAGTTACTCGGAGCAAAACATGCTGATCAGGAGTTCTGAGTTTGCTTCGACTTTGTTTCGCATGCTTATTCAAAGTTGATACTCAGTTTTAATATCATTGAAGGACTAGTAGCTTGCATTCTAAAAACATCTGTTTCCTATTTTTATATGTGAATGTAAAAGTCCTCTGTAGGAATTGCAGGTGGCACAGACCCATATGCATTTGACTTAAAATAGTAACTTTCTTCATTAATCCAGAATAAATAAATGTATACATTGCCCAGCAAAGTATTTCTTTACCCATGCACTTGGTCATCATGTATCCTAACAGCTGGCTCCAAGTCTCTCGGCTCCAATTTCCAGAACTTCCAGTCCACTACAAAATCACAAGGGATAGTGCAATCTCGTTAGCTTGGAGAAGGGTGGATAGGGTAGAGGAAAGCAGGGGAGTGGTTTAACTTGCCCTGCTGTGTGTGGAGATGCGCACAGCTTACTTTTACTCACAAGAGTGGCTCCATTGGATCCTGTAAGAGAAAGGAGCCACATTAAAACAGGATTTCAGGGCCAGTGCTCAGGAGACCTGCTGATTCTGCAGCAAACTAATGATTTTAAACAAGAAAAAGCATCTATTGTAAGTGATTTCATCAGCATTTGAAATAGATTAAAAACCTTTTGATGTTAATATAACTTTAATATTTCTAGAAGTGCGGGGATGAGGTTAAAATAATTCAGGGGAAAACATACTTTTGTCACTTATCTTTTTTTGTAACCCAGTTAAATCGAAGCATGCTTTGTTTAATATTGTCACCTAATTTCAAACACTATACACAGTTTCATAATCTTTTGAGTGTGCTATAATACTGCTTTAATTCTTGCCTGTCCATTTTCAGGTTATTAAGAAATTGAATTGACACATAATGGGTAGTAATTTGTTTCATTGGTCTGATGGGATCATGTAAGCTTTGATAACAGTTTATTGTGCTCCATTTTTGGTCTGTCTTTGAGGCACATTATTGTAGATTTGATGGCAAAAGCCTTTTGTCAGATGCTTGAGATTGCTAGCCATTTGAATTAACCAAAGCAATACCTGCTGTTAGGAACTTTGTAGGCGTATTTTAAATCTGCACGAAAGAGAGGAGTGTTGTTCCATTTCACTAGATTTACAAGAGATGACACATGTAGGGAAAGTCCAAAGCTAACAACGCAGCAGTGTTTACCTTGAGTACTGGCAGGAAATCATTATTCAATCTTGTTTGTCTTATCAGGCAATTCCAGGGCCACACAGATGGAGCCAGCTGTATTGACATTTCTAATGATGGTACCAAGCTCTGGACAGGAGGTTTGGACAACACCGTACGATCCTGGGACTTGCGTGAAGGACGACAGCTACAACAACATGACTTCACGTCACAGGTAAATGCTGTGTGCTGTGATTTTTTTCTTTTATTCTTTTCAATAGAATCGTTTTTTATTCAAATAAACTTGACACGTTTACCTTAAAGCTGGTCACCCACAGACAGATTTTGCTTCAGATTTGATCTGTCAGAAATGTAGGCAACTTACAGACATGCAGAAATGATCCACCCATTAAATTCTGTGTTGCAGAACACATTTTAAATCTGCAGTTGTGTGTGAGTGAAATCGCTCCATTCTCAACAGGTGTATAGTGAGGGTCTACCTGGTTGGAGGTATGTATGTATACACACATGCCCTCCCGCACTCGCGCCCTCCCGCACTCACGCGCACTCTCCAGGAGACAGTGTCCTGTAGATTTATTTTTTTTCTAATCCACACAGCAATGTGGACACAGAGGACAACTAAAAAAAAGTACGTTTTTGTCTTGTATACTGCAACTGCATATGACGGTTTCATGTACTCTTGATGTACATTGCTGGCACATGTTGTTTTTTTTATCAGGCAGACCTCTTAGGGTTACAATATGACCCTATAAGCTTTGTACAGTCAACTTCAGATGTACTGAAACTGTAAAATGAGGACCTTCCTAATCCAATTAATTTGTATCCAACCAAGCAGGCCCTTGCACTACATACTTATTGGCAGAGCTAAAGACTATTGTACAATTGAAATGTAACGTGTGGTGCGCTTTACACTGCATAGTTATGAGTCAGATTTTGTCATATTTGTCAGATCAACAAATTTACAGTTTAGACCATCAGGACAATCTTACACAGCTGAAGAATCAAATGTTTTGTTTTTATTGGTGGGAAGTTATGTTAAAGTGGACCTTTACACTCAAAAATCCAATTCTACCACTGCATCCCTCTATGTATGATTGATGTCAGGTGTAAAATGCTGTGATTTTGAAATGCTTACATTTGCAGAGCATTCACTTCCTGCTTTGAAAAGGGAAAATGACTTTAGTTTGGCAACCCAATGCACACTGGGATTGCCTTGTCATCAGCAGAGCATTGCTGGGACATCTCATTTGTAATCTCATGAGATCTCGGGGAAAGACATTAGCCTCCCTTGAGATGTCCATGCTCACATGTCCTAGTTGCATGTTTAGTCACATGTGCCAGTAAATCAGGGATGTAAAGCACTGCGTAAATTGTGGCCACTACATAAATACCTGTTATAAATTACTAAATTGAATGCTTTTATGTATGCGCATTGTAGATATTTGTTTACCCTAGGGTGAATCAAACCTTTCCAAGAAAGATCTTTGCCTGCCTTTCTCCAGCAGACACATGGTCAGTCATATTCTACAATCATATGTGTCGGAAGGGGAGAGCCTTTACTGCCTTTTTTGTGTTTTCTCTGATCGGATTCAGTCAAGACAAAAACGGCATGGACTAACAGATCTAGTCACTAGTCTGTCCTCCAAATAGAAGTTCCCCAAAGTCATCTGATGTGTTGATCTGTGTTCATAGACTGCTCCGTTGTCCTCGAAGATCTGTATAGAGAAGGTGGTTTCTCATGAGTACCTCAGGTTTAGCCTTTGATATTCTAAACATGGTCTTTCGTGTTTTGTTTTATATTTAGATCTTCTCCCTTGGATACTGTCCAACTGGTGAATGGCTTGCAGTAGGAATGGAAAGCAGTAATGTGGAAGTTCTGCATGTAAATAAACCAGATAAATATCAGCTGCATCTGCATGAGAGCTGTGTGTTATCATTAAAGTTTGCATATTGTGGTAAGTAAAAAAAAAAAAAAAAGGCCTACAATGGCAATAATTTTCATTGTTTTGTATATAATTTGGTCTGTTTAGTTTGTTGTGTGTAGATGTATGTAGAGCTGCAGCTAACGATTATTTTCAAAATCGATTAGTTAGCCAATTACGTTCGATTAATGGGTAAAAAAAATAAAATACATTTTAAAAAATGGCTCCAGTGATGGGACTACTAGTTTGTATTGAGATTGCAGTCCATCCCGGGAGCTAGCTTGGAGCCGTGGAAGTAAAAAAAAAAAAAAGTGTGTGCAATATAGGGAAATGAAAAGTGTAACATTATACAGAAATGAATGCAGAATGCATAGAGGACAACAAAACCCAGCAATATAGTACATTATACAGCGCAACGCAGAATACCGCCAGCTATAATGTACTATTTCTGGGATTTGTTGTATTCCTCTGTAGCTGGTGGTATTCTGCATTGCGCTGTATAATATATTATTCCTTGATTTGTAGTCCTCTATACAGCGCAATGCAGAATTCACCAGCTATAGAGGACTACAAGAAGTCCCAGCAATACATTATACATACAGTGTATAATGTATTGCTGGGATTTGTATTCCTCTATAGCTGATGTTATAATATACAGCACAATGTACCATCAGCTATAGAGGAATACAAATCCCAGCAATACATTATAGAGCACCATGTGTGGCAAAGTGCAGGCTTACCTGAGCAGTCTTCCAGCAACTTGTTTCTGAGATCGGGCCTGTCTATCGGTGGCTGTCATCCGCCCCGCACCTGCTCCTCCTTTACTACTTCTCCCTGCGCCGATCGTGGATTTGGGAGGGTAGTGAGCGTGAGGCGGGGTGGAGGTGCGGCGTGTGGATGTGGGCCTGGCAGCGGCGAGCGTGAGGTGGGGAGGTGGTGTGGCGCGCAGCCACACCTCCATGTGGAGCCGCGAACAGGGCCAACCAATCGGGAGCCGATTATTCGATTGAAAAAGTTGTCAACTTTTTCAATCATCGATTATGTCGATTTAGTTGTTGCAGCCCTAGGGGTGGAGCTGTGAATTGGAGGGAAAATGGTTGAAAAAGATTCTTTAGTGTGATCATATGCATAACATCTTTTGTTATAGGTACTCTAGTTTTGGCCAGACCTATAAGCTGCCATTCCAACCATACTATTGAATATAAATTTGAAGGACTGCTGTGTGCACAAAAAGATTTGCAGAAAACACATAATCTTGTAATTGCCCAACCCTGTTGTGATCATTCAAGTGCCTATTATAAAGAGGGTGGCAGCATCTCCCTCCTCCTAGTTAGGCTCTGAATGGCAATACTTAACTAGCGATGCCCACAATTGAAATTATTACTTAGCCGGAGCTGCTTATTTATGGATTATAATTTCTTACATACTTTTAGCATTCAGCTTGTGACTCCTTTTTGATTTTGTTTGCTCAGGTAAATGGTTTGTGAGTACAGGGAAAGACAACCTTCTTAATGCTTGGAGAACACCATATGGAGCCAGTATATTCCAGGTAAGTGACACATTAATTTTGTTTATTAAAATGACACTAAACTCATTAAAGTTAAATCTTAAAATTGCATTCATGTACCCTATTAATAAAAATATATCTTGTTTATCACTCAGTAGATCCTCAAATCATCTCTGAATTCATGTTGACACTGTCCCCTCTTCTGGAGGGTGACTACTTTTGTTCCCCATGGTCTGTGTGTTGTAAAGTAGCCACCAACCCAAGCTCGCTCCTGTGATGGACTAGAACAGGGGCGCCCACAATTTTTCGTCTGGAGACCTACTTTTAAAATGACGAGCTCAATGAGATCTACCAACGAAACAACACCTGCGTTCAGGGGCGGGAGGGAGCGTGGTGGTGCATTGAGTCAATGGCACCACAGCCAGGCCCCGGAACCCAGGCACATTAGTGCCTGCGTTCCGGTCCAGTGCGATCCGCAAAAATGCTGCAAGCACTATTTTTGCTGATCACACCGGACCGGAATGCAGGCACCAAGGTGCGGGTGATCGAACTGTGGGCAGGGGACATGGCTGCGGTGCAACCCCACGTCCCCTCCCGCCCCTGAACACAGGGAGTCGGCTGGCTTGCATTCCAGTGCGTTCTAGAGGCGCCGGCGTCCTATCCTCCCGTGCCAGTCAGCCGCACGAGCACCACGGGAGCATAGCCGTAGCCAGCTCCTTTTGCGCACGTGGCAAGAAAAAAAGGTGCCCCCCCCCCAAAAATGGAAAAAGAAATTGAGGACACAGAGCTGCCGTAACAGCAGCATGTGCGGTGAGGAGAGATAGAGCCGCCGCCTGTCAGATCCCGGCTGAGCTGCTCTCTCTCTCCTCACTGCTCAGCGTGCTGCTGTGACTGCGGCTCCGGCCCCTGCCGCCGACTGCAGCTTCACTTTCACTTTTCCACGGATCCCCGCTGCATACAGATGGTGGAGAGCAGCGGGGATCCAGATTAGACAGGACATCGTGATCTACCAGTGATCGCTACGTGATCGACTGGTAGATCGCGATCGACCTTATGGGCAGCCCTGGACTACAATCTTGATACAAATGAGTAAACTCTTAAAACTGAGATTGTAATCCATCACAGGAGGGGTCTTGGAGCGGTGGCTGCTTAACAATGCACACAAGGACCAACAAAAGTAGTCACCCTCCAGAAGGAAGGACAGTGTCGGTACCAATTCAGAGATTTGTGGATCTACAGCTAATGATACATTGAATTCAATTGAATGGATTTTTAAGATTTACATTCAGTGTCACTTTAAACTGCCACGCACAAACCTGGCTATAAGAAGTGTGGAATAATATGTTGTCTGTTTTGTAGTCCAAAGAATCCTCATCGGTGCTGAGCTGCGACATCTCTGCGGATGATAAATACATTGTCACTGGATCAGGGGACAAGAAGGCTACAGTCTATGAAGTGATCTACTGAAAGAGATTGGATTATTACTTTGTACAAATGATCTGGGCCAAAATCTACTTTTGCGTAGCAGGAGAAAGAAAAGCCGACTTTTTATCCCGAATATGAAACTTTTTGCCTGTGTATATAGAGAAAATGCAATATGGACTTGCTGAACCTCCTATACGTTGAGATCTGACTGCCTGGATCAAGCTGAAGTCAACATATAATGAACGTATGATGTCTTAATGTGTCTGCTGAAAACATTTTTTTTTTTTTTTTTTTAAGAAAAATTTTTTTTTTTTTTTTTTATATTTTTGTGTGTCAGTTGTATAAAATGTAAATATTTGTTTTCCTACAGTAAAGTCTTTAGTACCAACAACATTTTTTATTTTTATTTTGTAACTGTCAATATGTAAATTGATTTTCATGGTGTATATAGGATTTGTAATTACTTGCAGTTACCAAGGTTGTGACTGTTTATTCTTTTACTACACTGTGATAGGTCTAGTCAAGTTGTAAATGTTATTTGAAATAGCAGATGCACAGTAACTTGACACCTGATTAGTAGCTGTACGTTTATAAGCCCGAATCCTTTCTCTAGACAGTATTCTTTCCTCATAACTTACTCTTGTAGTGTGATTGTCATTGTTCAAGCTCTTTTCAAAACATAATTTCTTTCCATTTCACAAATCTCAGAGACTAATCATCCAGAATTTATGAAGAACCATTTTTGAAGTGTATGTATATATACAATTAAAATGCATTTGTAAGATGGTTAGGTGTATGATTTTGTTCCCATTTGATGTCAATCTTGATGGGTGCTGTCATCTAATGGCATCTCAATCGAATCTCTGTAAAAGAGTGCAGTTCATGGGAACATTTGGGGATTTTTTTTTATAGTCTTTAATACTGAAAGGCTTTTTCCCCTTCTGTGATTAACATAAATAATAGAAAAAGCCCTGTAAATATAGAGTTCTGCAGAATAGTCATTTTGCTTCTGTTCCTCTAGTTTATTTGTTTTTTGGGGTTTTTTTTTTTTAAATGGATACATACGATAAGCCTGCTCAGTATTTTTAGCCATGTGTAATTGGCTTCTTGCAGGAATTGGAACCTAAATCTTCTGCTGCTTTTTCCCCCTTTTAATATTCCTTTGTGAAATTTTAGGATCATGGCTGTTCAGCTGCATCCATCACACAACTGATTTATTTATTTTAAGATGAAAACATTTGGTGAGCAGTGAACCTTGCATCATATTGTAAGCCTTCCATAGAGTCCATTATGAATGTTTTTATAAAAGCAAAGACTTTTGATTTTTTTGTTAATGAAGTCTATACTTCATTACTATGTCTGAATAAAACTTAATACACTCTTTTCTGGTATTCTTTGTTTTAATCAAATGTCAAAATAAGCTCTTAGTATAAAGTGTCTTGTATTAAGAAGTTATGCATGCTGAAAAAGTATATAACGAAACATTTTCTAGTATATTTAGACATGCTTGAGAGGTATAAAAAATGCTAGTCAATGAACACATTTGCAGCATGTAAAAGCATCTGGGTATTCAGCAATTGCTTCATGGACAAATGAATGGTCTATTTAACTGCATGTAAAATCAGAACCTTTTTTGGTTTCTATAGCATGTGGAAGGGCTAGAAGCTCGGTCAGGCTTTTATTGCGGTCTGTGGCTGCGAGATCTCCCCTCACTATTTATCCTGATGACCATTGTCCCTGATACAGAAAGATGGGAAATCTAAAATTTTTGAGTTGCTACAGGAAGTGAGGGAAAGTCTTCCGGTGGGGAAACCCGTTCTAGTGACTACTTCTGAAGAGGTTATCCCTCACTTTGGAGAAATCTCCTCTGGACTTCCTGCTTTCTCCGAGATGAGGAATCTCCCTTGTTGGAACAAATGTCGCAAAAAACACGGACAGGTATCTTAAAAGTGTATGTAAAGCCAATATTACAGACATAACAGTGAATAATATAATTTCTGCTGGTTTGAAATTTTGTGTAGGACTGCAGTTAACAATTTGCATATTTGATTATTTGGGCAATTTTGATTTTATTCTCTTGTGAAAATATGACCTATTAGGTAACGCATGGTTTGTTAAAATTTGATATACTTGTGAAATTACCCGCAAGCCTTCCCTGGACTCTATACAAGTTTTCTCAAATGGAGTTAGATCTCGCTCTATTTGCCCTTGTAGCTGCAACTTTTTATAGAAATCCCATAGCTGCGTATATTATAACCGTGCGCCATGATATCTACTCTCTGGGAGCAGCTCTGCGATGTTTGAATACTACAGGGAAAGATCACCAAATATTTCACATATTTGCTGATCATCCTGCAGCTCTCTTCTCTGCACTGCTGCGTTCCTGACTTGGCCCTGCCTCTGCTCTCTCCCTGAAAATTCAGTGTATCCCAGCTTCTCTTCTTCCTGCTGGGCGCCGTTCTGATTGCGTTCCCCGATGCAGCGCCGGTGCCCAGTGGGGGAGGAAAGAGGCTTTCAGGATGGAGAGCTGGGCGGTGATAGCTGTCATTGTTGCAGGAGGTCAAGCTCTCCTCCCTTACCTCTCGGCTCAGCCTCCTGTGTCAGGATGGAGAGCTGTCCGAGGCAGTGACAGGTGTGATCTGTCAGGTGGCAAAGTTCTCCTGGACCTCCTGTCAGCATCGAAAGTGGTGATTAGAGGTGAGTGCTCTGATCTGTCACCGGGGCGGAGGTCTCATCCCCCACTGCCTGGCCCCCTCATGTGACAGCCAATTCAGGATGAAGAGCGGGCATACAGACACTCGCAGATCAGCTGAACGGTGAGTGTTAGTAAGCACACTATGTCCAGTTATTTACAATGTCCCAGTTATGAATGAATGGATCACTTCTCCAAACACTTCACCCTTTTGTGAATAACCCTGTCAATATAGAGGCTTCCTGTTCATTTATAACCGGGGCTGCAGAAAAAGAGATTGAGGACTCTGTCCTCAATCTCTTTTTCTATTTTAAAAGGGAAATATCAGGGGTCTATTTAGATCCCTGATATTTCCCTAGAGCCCCCAGCACAGTATAGTAAAAAAGAAATGAAATTTACATTTTAAATTTCAATTTCTCTCCCGTTCATTGAAGGACACAAGGCAACAGATCGTAGATCCTGAATGGTAGGGTATATCGCCACCTGCAGGAGTAGGACGCTAGGCACATAACTAAAAAGACAAGACAGCCTAGGGGCGGCCCCTGCTGGTGGCCCAACCCTTCACTTGCTGACAAGTCTCCAGTTTTTTGCCTAGCGTCAGGAGTAAGGAGCTAAAAAATTTTCTCTGGGAATTTTTTTCTTTTCCTCCGTTTTTTTCGCTGTTTCTTCAAGCAAGTGTCACCAGGGCGACACGCTGGATGTTTTAGATCCTTGTAGTCTCCCCTGAGTGACCGACGAGCGCATGCAGGCTCTGCCACGGTGGGTCACCGCCCCTAGGCTGTCTTGTCTTTTTAGTTATGTGCCTAGCGTCCTACTCCTGCAGGTGGCGATATACCCTACCATTCAGGATCTACGATCTGTTGCCCTGTGTCCTTCAATGAACGGAGAGAAAAGGATTTTACGGTGAGTACAAAAATCCTATTTTTTTCAACAGATTGGAAAAGTGTTTTTTTGGTTTCGGCCTGACAAATTTTTAATTTTCGGTCTTAAAATTCCATTTAGGTGCATCGCTAATTACAATTGCACCTGGAAGTGGGTGGGATGTACTGGGCAGCAAGTAAACATTTTGTCCCTGAAGTTGATGTGTTAGAAACAGGAAAAAAATTGGCAAGCGTAAGGCTTTGAGTGACTGGTAAGGGCCAAAATGTGATGGCTGGATGACTGGGTCAGAGCAACTCCAAAACTAAAGCACTTGTGGGATGTTCCCAGTCTGCATTTGTCAGGACCTATCAAAAATTGTCCAAGGAAGGAAAACTGGTGAACCAGCAACAGGGTTATGGGTGGTCAAGGCTCATTGATGCATGTGGGGAGGCTGGACCGTGTAGTCTGATCCAATAGATAGCTCAAATTGCTGAATAAGTTAATGCTGGAGACTGCCCCCATAGATGTCCATGGTTTTCTACTACGCAGTTGAAACAAGATTTAAGATGGAGGTACTACAAATCTGCAGACTACGGTCGTCCAATTCAAGCAACTTGTATACATCTGGGGCAGGGGGCAAAAGGATAATTGCACTCTCCATAATGCCTTGACAATTCTACTTGTCAGAGCCCAGTCAGAGCAAACAAAATATCACTTTATCCCAAATAAAGTAAGGCTGCACTATTATTTAAAAAAAAAAAAAAAAAAACCCATGGGTAACTGGTTCTCTTTAAGGGCCTGTTTACACCATATGCAGTTGTGATGCAGTCCGTTTATGTCAACTGCACAGTTAAAACTCATTCCAATGCTTTCCTATGGGCTCTCTAATTCACACCACTGCAGTCAGAAAAAGTACTGCTTGTCCTACTTTAACTGCATCAAAATGCATCAAATGCAACGGAACACATAAAAAAAAAAAAATGGCTAAAGTCAAAACTAGCACCATGCCAGCCAACAAAGAAAGCATGACTGAGCTCCCAAATGAACAAAATAAACATAGGAAATGCTCTGACAGGAAAAGGAAGCGACCTACATGCCTAATTAGCATTTTTTAGTGCAGTTGTGATGCAGTTTCTGGTGTGAACTAACCCTTCCTAATCACACACGGGACAATCCTACTTTGATACACAAAACAATTGCACCACAGTAGCTTAGTGGCTAGTAAATTTGGGCTTGCAGGAATAGATTATGGAGACTGCTTTCAACCAAGGGTGCTAATTCATCCAAGGGTTGTACTATAATTACATGGAACATCTGTTCTTGATATATTTACGTATATTCTTCCAGGTTTTCTAGCTCTACCCACATCCCAAAAAAAATTTGTTTTAAGTAAAAGAGAAAATGGTTAAAACCCCTTTTTGTTTTTTTTTTCATCACTTGTTACCAGAACAATTGTCAAATAAAAGATTATCCCTCTATTTCTGTTCGATTGACAACTTACAACTTTGTATCTCCTCTTTCTGTCCTGGTAACAATGATCACCGGGACTTAAAGATGGGGTGAAGCTCCAAAAATGTAAAAACTTGACGGGAGTTTGACCATTCCCTATTCCATCTAAAACAAAACAAAACAAAAAAAAATGGTTATTCCCAAAATGGTGAAGAGTTTGGAGAAGGCAGGAGAAGTGAACAATCTAGGACAACATAGCTGATTTGGAAAAATTATCCAATGTGGCTAACGTTCCAGTTTTGCTATGTTCTAGATTGTTCATGTCTCCTGCCTTCTCAAACTCTTCACCCTTTTGTGAATTATTTCTGAAAGTTCTTGTTTTACATACACTAAAATGCTGTTTGACAGCTAAAGTTATGCTTATTGTGCCAGAAAAGGATTTATATCTTTGAACCTCATAATATGACATCCTAAAGTTTAAATATATTGAGGTCAATTTGACCTACACCAATTAATGTTTACTGATATGAAAGACATGCTGCAATAAAAATTATTGATAAAAGTATGCAATTTGGATCTAAACATGTCCTTATACCCTGACAAAACAGAGTTATGTTAACAGTCTTGCACAGGTCTGGTTTTTATAAACCCAAAGCCTGTCTTTCCACCTCAGTATTGCATGCAACTCTAACATAGAGGTTACATTTTAGGGACTGCTTTTCAATAGTTTTCCCTGCACTAGAGACTGCTGCAGTGCCATAAAAAGTGATGGAACCAGTCCTGTATTTTAACATGCAGATTTGTCTTCTGCAGAGCGTCATGTTTCATGACTTGTACGATTCTCTGTGGGCTGGAAAAAGCTGCAGTTATATATACATGCAAATCAAATTTTGTTTGTGAATAGTCGCTTGTCACTAGTTATAACTTGGCATACAGAGTGTGCAGGAAAACGTACTTGTATTGAGTAAACCCATTGCTGACTGGTTTCTGAATGTGCATACTCCAGAAATGTCTTCTCATGGCTGTACAGATCAGGTGCCATGATGCTTGAAATGAACATACAAGTTCCAGGTTATTGAGTCTTAGACTTGGCTAAAGGACAAGGGTGGCAACCACAGCATGCACTCTCAAAAACAAAACAAAAAAATAAATAGAGGTCCGTGTAGGATATCTTGAGAGACATGGCATACAATTTTCAAACAAAAACAATTTACATACTACCAACAATTTACAAAAATATTGTCAATTCACCAGTGTCACAGAATTAGGGTTGTGCTTAAGAATTGTTGTAATTTCAATTATTTCTCCACCCATCCCCTCTTGAGCTCCAAGTTTATGCCAACATCAGTTACCAGAACCCATTACTTCACAC